CCGGCCATCTCCACCGCCAGCCCGGCCTGTCCAGCTGATCCAAAACACAAGCTCAGAGCCCGAATTTCTCCCGCAAATCTACCCTTTTTTCAGCCCTTTCGCGATGGATCTGCGGGCGGTTTTGGCGACAGCAGTGTGCCTGAGTGTGGGCGTGATTGGTGCGGCGCCGGAAGAGCAGTGCCATACGTTCGCGGGCGGGGCAGTTTACCCAAATACAGAAGGCAGGGCTTCGGGGCACAGCCTGCAGTGGACCAAAGCCATGAGTAAATATTTTTATCGGATTTTATGCATTAATTCGCAAAGTTTACCTGCTGTTTAATTATTATTTTATTTAGTTCACTTAGTTTTATGTGTTTGACCTGCATTTATTCCTGTCATTGAGTGTGATTCGTGTTTTTCTTGTTTCCATATTTCAGTCTTTATCTCCAAGTACTTTGCATTACTTTTGATGATTTCTCATTAATTCAGGATAATTGCACGAATGATAGGTAATGTGATGTAAATTTTTTAAAGAAAGTGTTTTTTTTTTCCTGATTTTCAAGTAAAATGTTCTAAATTTGTCGAGAAAAAAATAAAATATCACTGCTTGGAGGATAAGCCGACAACACCCTCACAGACCTATTTCTTAATGTCATATCTTCTATAAGTTGGCTTAAAATGTTAATAAAGGGTTGGGGGTTACAGGGGGGGGGTTGCCCTCCTTTCTAGGGAAGAAGTAGAAGGTAGGGAAGGTTAGGTTTAGATTTTTGTGTTCGCATGACACCCTGGGGCTTTGTCTCGGGAGGATGCATAGCCCTTGGCAACAAATACCCCTTGTGGTAGTTCGTGCCATCAGAGTAGGGTTCATTCAGTCATTTGTTCGAGTTGGGATCTTGGCATCCGGTCAGTGGAGTAAAGTTGTACCTTACTGTCGTGTAATTGATGACTTGCAATTTACTTCATGGGGGCTTTACCACCATATATCACGGTTCTGGGTTTGCACAGACTAGTTATGTATCCTAACAAAGAAAACTAGCTGGGACATCTTCAGACTATCTTGCCAGAATATTTGGCACATAGTATAGGTTTCTTTGCCATTTGCTGGAGTACCAGCAGGCATGGAGGTATCAATTATCACTTGATGCTGGGGTGTCTAATTGCCACTCGTATTGCTGCTATAGTAGGTATCCTCCGGTAACAGTATACAATAACCTGTTGGATCTGCAAGCTTACTTGTGACTTTCCTAGATGTGTAACTTGTAGGCCTCGCCCACACAAACACCTTTGTACAGTTATTCTTTAGGTAATTCTTTACAGTACAGACGTATTTGCCAGAGACTAAGTTCCCAATTCCATATCACAAAATTAAGTAAACAGTCTAAGTTGGTGGGACTAGGCATACCCAAGGGGAGGGTTGATAGCCTCCAACACCCCCTGGGAAACATTGCCATCATCTCAGTATACACGGCAAGATACAGCTGAAACACGGGAACGCTGAGTGAAATTAGGCTATGAGCAGTGCTTTCCACAATTTTTTCCTTTATTTGTGGCGTTTCCTTTCATGTCTGTCGATTATTTCTTGTACTAACTACTGCAAATTTTTGTCCTCTACAAGAATATCAACAACATGCCCTGGCTTAGTGCATCCATAATGTAAAGATTAACCATTCTTTGCAGTATAGATGCACTAAGCTAGGGCAAACAATATTCTTGTAAAGGATAAAATGTTGTAGTTGTAATTGTCAGTACAAGAAATTATTTGCTGGCACAAACGGTAACACTACAAATTAAAGAAAAAGATTGCAGACAGCCACTCACAGCCTAAGTCCACTTGATGCTCCTGATTTTCAGCTCTATCTTGCTGCGGATACCGAGGTTTGCCAGGGGATGTTGAGGGACAGAGGCTTCCATGAAAACTCCCCTCGCGCAGTACTCAAAAAGCATCCCCTGTCATGGCAATTTAGATTGCTGAATAAAGTTTGTAATGTGAAGTTGGGGACTTAGTCTCTGGCAAATGCATCCTTATTGTAAAGAATTACTCCTTGTCTCCCCTTTGCTGAGGCATTTTTTTTCTTTTTAGCCAATTTCTAAGATATGTAATTGTCAAACTCCATATCTCTAGGTAGTCTAACTCCCTGTGCAATAACAATAAGTAACATAATGACACTGTCATAAAGAAAAGGGGGAAAAAAACACTGCTATATGAAAAGAATGTCACAAAGGGAGATAGTAAGTTGCAACAAATGCCAGTCAGTGTGTGCCCAGGTTTAGGAGATATTTTTGTTCATATTATGATGTTTGTGGATTCCCAGAAGCAGCTGGATTAACAGGGATTTAGCAACATGTACTGTGTTCAATTGAAACAAGAATGAAAAAGGGCAAGGTTGGTTTGATATCTATACACTTATTAATTTGACCGGTTATATTTGCAACAAATGAGTCATTTTTGGCATGATTGTCTTTGATTTAGAATATAATAAAGTCCCTCAATAGTTTTAAGAATATTTACATTAAAAGGGTA